CCCCAAAACCCCAAAACCCCAAAACCCCAATTATTCCTAAAATTATTGAAAAATATAATAATGAAAATGAGCCAGCAAGATTATACGCAATCAGTGCAACTCCCAAACAGAGTTTCGGCCTTTCAAAGATATAGCATGAAAAAGAAATCAATATTTAATAAGTAAGAAAATCTCTGACATTAGGAAATGTTGTTATTCACCTACTTGTTGTTTCAGTTGAATTTTAAGTTAGAAATAGCTTTCTAGAAGTCCATAGCGTGACTACTGTACTGATCAAGATACATTCTAGTATTCAAAAGCACATTCTCTCTCGCTTCTCTTTGCTTGAGAGTTTTGGACTGCTTTAAAATTTGCTTAGAGCTTTGTCTGAAACTTTCTCAGCCATATATAATCAGGGACTATACAATATTAAACTAAGCTTATTATCTCTGATATTTAGGAAGAAAATGGCATTCAAAAAGCTAAAAACAAAGAAACCCAGTATAGCAGCTCCTCTGAAACTGAACTTTCGAAGTTCTAAAATGTAAGTAACTTGAACTCTCAAATCATTTATCTTCAGTAGAAGTAATTTATTAAACCTGTTTTGGATATAACTGAATTCATTAATTAGGTAGGGTGCTTGCCTAGGCAAGTATAACCATGACCACTAAGGCAGGTATGAAGAATTTCATGAGTTTGATAATTGGATTATTTAACACAATTTGAACAATTAGGGCAAAATTAGATTCAAAATATAACGTCTAATGCTTGTTCTTGTTTTCTTGGAATAACCATTTGCAAAAATTATAGCAGGTTTATTAAACACATCAATAGATATTCTTAGTGCTAATCAATTGAAATTAGAGATAGAATAGAAGAATATTTAAATTGTCAAAAATTAAACCTACTTTTTACACCGAGATTCTTAATCTCTAAATTCCTACCCTTATGGATATTTATAAACTTTGTGGGTTTAAAATAATGAATTGGGAACAATTTTTTGAATAAAAAGAGTTTATTCTAGACTATTCCTAATCAGCATTTTTTATAGAGAATTCCCAGCTCCAAAGGAGAATCTGCCTGTTGAGCTCTCACCAATTCAGGAGTGTAAAGTTAAGAAAATAAAGAAGGTAATTAAATTGAAAATCATTGCTCTCAAATCAAAACCTCCAGAAATTTTAATATAACTAATGATTAGGTTAATCCAATCAAAAGAGGGAGATACCACTTCAATGTAGAGAAAATGCTTCAAGACTCGAGAGTTAGTGTCTACTCTAAGATCATCAAGAAAGCAATGGATGATCTCATAACCAAGCCTAAATAAAATCAACAGAAAATCTTCAAAAAGAGATGAAATTCTGGCACAGAATCGGACACCTCTGTCCTTTCGGACTCATGATGAAGAACAAATTTTGATGAATAATACGCAAGGAAGAATGTCAAATGCATTTTCTCTCAACAGTAGATTTAGTATGATTAAGAACACTACGATTGATCAAAGGCATTTTAGTATGAGGAAAGCTTTTAGTCCACAGCCAAATTCTAATGGGTGGCTTAAATCTCCCACAATGACTAGATCCCGACATATGAGTCCATCAGAAACTACAAATAAACAGGTTTCAGATTCTTCTCTCTGCTCGAGAAATGAAATCATTGAAGAATTGAGAAAGAAAATTTATGTTGTGAATCAGAACAAAAGTAAAAAGAAAAAGAAATCGGTGACAGCATTTCTCTCCTTGCCTAGGAGATTTAATAAAGATCTAATGGACCAAGTCATCAGCAATTTGTTACAAACGAAAGCTAAGAAGAGAGTCCCTCAGAGTTTAAAGAAAGACCCTGAATTCCAAAGGAGGTTTTCAAGATATAGCATTCTCAGTCCGATTCTGAGAGGTCCGAGATTCACTTTAAATGATGACAACCCGTAAGTAGATTCTAAATCTTCCTTCTAAGTCCTTGTATAGATCTCAGGAGACTACTAATATTAACTCTCCTTTCTCTCTCACATCAGACAAGAGCATTCCAACGGTTGATAATATAGTGTAAGTTTATTAAATGAAGAGCTTTTGATTGGTGAATCATTCCAAAACGTGAATAATTTATTTTATAGCAATCGGAAAGAAACCATGCGCAAAAAGAGCAGGCAAAGTCGGTTTATCCACTTGTAATAACTCTTCCTTATTTATTAATATCTTAATCAGAACTCCTTGTCAAAATATCGAGGGATAGTGAAGTTTATTTCATAAGATCTTGCAGTATTTTCTCTATTCGGGCATTCTTCCAAGAGGTCAATATGAATTTTTCATATAAGTTGTAAAAATAATCAACCATAACTTGATCTACCGGGGTTTTGGGGTTTTGGGGTTTTGGGGTTTTGGGG